CTGACCAGCTGATGGGTGACGCAACTGTGTGACGTCACTACACCCCCCCCCCCTCCACTCCCCCCCCCACCATCCACCCGATGAATGCACCGCCCGCCCGCCCGGTCCCTCCCCCCACCCCTCCCCTAAACTAGGGTCATCCCGCCTTCCCTGCCCCTCCCCACGTCACCTCGTGGGGAGGGGCAGGGGAAGAGGAGGGTCACCTCGCCCTCCCGGCCCCTTCCCACAAAAGAGGGTCACCCCCCCCCCGGTGGGAAGTGAGTGCATACTCTCCAGGACACCTCTCACTGTATTTTCCCACTAATAAACTTACCTTCACCTATGCCTCTACTTCTTCTTTACTCCCCCCCAATATATATATATATATATATATATATATATATATATATATATATATATATATATATATATATATATATATATATATATATGTGTCGTACCTAGTAGCCAGAACGCACTTCTCAGCCTACAATGCAAGGCCCGATTTGCCTAATAAGCCAAGTTTTCATGAATTAATATATTTTCTCTAATTTTTTTCTTATGAATTGATAAAGCTACCCATTTCATTACGTATGAGGTCAATTTTTTTTATTGGAGTTAAAATTAACGTAGATATATGACCGAACCTAACCAACCCTACCTAACCTAACCTAACCTATCTTTATAGGTTAGGTTAGGTTAGGTAGCCGAAAAAGTTAGGTTAGGTTAGGTTAGGTAGGTTAGATAGTCGAAAAACAATTAATTCAAGAAAACTTGGCTTATTAGGCAAATCGGGCCTTGCATAGTAGGCTGAGAAGTGCGTTCTGGCTACTAGGTACGACATATATATATATATATATATATATATATATATATATATATATATATATATATATATATTAGGGGTACCACCTCTGGTGCAATTGCAGGGACCCACATCCTCGAAGAAGAAAACAAAGAGCATTCAGAGAAAATCTTGTGATTTTATATATATATATATATAATATATATATATATATATATATATATATATATATATATATATATATATATATATATATATATATATATATATATATATATAGGGGGTACCACATCTGGTGCAATTATGGGGACCCACAGCCTCAAAGAAAGGAACACAGAGCATTCAGAGAGAAACTTGCCATTTAACTCTAAATACGTAAGAGTGTTCGCTTCCCCTACCACCCCCCTTTTTATGGTGTACACTTTATTATGCAAGGTTATACAGTTACATATCTGATTTTATACAAAAAATGAACATTAAGAGGACACAAGAAAAAGTTCGCTTCCTAGAGGCTGTAGATTTCCTCAAACTCCTCCGACGCCGGGCAGGAACCGAGGATGCAGCGGGCATTCCCCCTCTGGATCGCGACACTGAGGCGCTGAAAGAGAAAACTTGCCGCTCAAGGGTCTCTTGTAGTGTCAATGAGCTTGGAACCAAGATCCTTAAGAAACCTTCTTGCACGCTCTCCCCATGGGCCTAGGGTCTCAGACCCTATGAGAATGGCGGTGATGAGTCACGTGTTGCCTGTGTGACCTTCCTGTGTGACCCTACTGTGTGACCCTGTGCGACCCTCCCTGTGTGACCCTCCTGTGTGACCCTCCTGTGTGACCCTCCTGTGTGACCCTCCTGTGTGACCTTCCTGTGTGACCTTCCTGTGTGACCCTTCCTGTGTGACCCTTCCTGTGTGACCCTCCTGTGTGACCCTCCTGTGTGACCCTGTGCGACCCTCCTGTGTGACCCTACTGTGTGACCCTTCTTGTGTGACCTTCCTGTGTGTCCCTACTGTGTGACCCTCCTGTGTGACCCTGTGTGACCCTCCTGTGTGACCCTGTGTGACCCTCCTGTGTGACCCTGTGTGACCCTACTGTGTGACCCTTCTTGTGTGACCTTCCTGTGTGTCCCTACTGTGTGACCCTCCTGTGTGACCTTCCTGTGTGTCCCTACTGTGTGACCCTCCTGTGTGACCCTCCTGTGTGACCTTACTGTGTGTCCCTACTGTGTGACCCTCCTGTGTGACCCTGTGTGACCCTCCTGTGTGACCCTACTGTGTGACCCTTCTTGTGTGACCTTCCTGTGTGTCCCTACTGTGTGACCCTCCTGTGTGACCTTCCTGTGTGTCCCTACTGTGTGACCCTCCTGTGTGACCTTACTGTGTGTCCCTACTGTGTGACCCTCCTGTGTGACCTTCCTGTGTGTCCCTACTGTGTGACCCTCCTGTGTGACCTTCCTGTGTGTCCCTACTGTGTGACCCTCCTGTGTGACCTTCCTGTGTGTCCCTACTGTGTGACCTTCCTGTGTGACCCTCCTGTGTGACCTTCCTGTGTGTCCCTACTGTGTGACCTTCCTGTGTGACCTTCCTGTGTCCCCCTACTGTGTGACCTTCCTGTGTGACCCTCCTGTGTGACCTTCCTGTGTGTCCCTACTGTGTGACCCTCCTGTGTGACCTTCCTGTGTGTCCCTACTGTGTGACCCTCCTGTGTGACCTTCCTGTGTGTCCCTACTGTGTGACCTTCCTGTGTGTCCCTACTGTGTGACCTTCCTGTGTGACCCTCCTGTGTGACCTTCCTGTGTGTCCCTACTGTGTGACCTTCCTGAGTGACCCTCCTGTGTGACCTTCCTGTGTGTCCCTACTGTGTGACCTTCCTGTGTGACCCTCCTGTGTGACCTTCCTGTGTGTCCCTACTGTGTGACCCTCCTGTGTGACCCTCCTGTGTGACCTTCCTGTGTGTCCCTACTGTGTGACCCTCCTGTGTGACCCTCCTGTGTGACCCTCCTGTGTGACCTTCCTGTGTGTCCCTACTGTGTGACCCTACTGTGTGACCCTCCTGTGTGACCCTCCTGTGTGACCCTCCTGTGTGACCCTCCTGTGTGACCTTACTGTGTCAGTAAGCAGTATTCATAATAAAGCAACACTGGCACTCAGCCTCTGGCATTTGATATGATCACTATGTTGGCGTTAATTTTATATATAATTTGCGTGAAAATGTTGTGGAAGATGAGGGAATGTGGCGGTATAAGTGGAAGATGAGGGAATGTGACGGTATAAGTGGAAGATGAGGGAATGTGGCGGTATAAGTGGAAGATGAGAGAATGTGGCGGTATAAGTGGAAGATGAGAGAGTGTGGCGGTATAAGTGGAAGATGAGAGAGTGTGGCGGTATAAGTGGAAGATGAGGGAATGTGGCGGTATAAGTGGAAGATGAGAGAATGTGGCGGTATAAGTGGAAGATGAGAGAATGTGGCGGTATAAGTGGAAGATGAGAGAATGTGGCGGTATAAGTGGAAGATGAGAGAGTGTGGCGGTATAAGTGGAAGATGAGAGAGTGTGGCGGTATAAGTGGAAGATGAGGGAATGTGGCGGTATAAGTGGAAGATGAGGGAATGTGGCGGTATAAGTGGAAGATGAGAGAATGTGGCGGTATAAGTGGAAGATGAGAGAGTGTGGCGGTATAAGTGGAAGATGAGAGAGTGTGGCGGTATAAGTGGAAGATGAGAGATGGTGGCGGTATAAGTGGAAGATGAGGGAATGTGGCGGTATAAGTGGAAGATGAGGGAATGTGGCGGTATAAGTGGAAGATGAGAGAATGTGGCGGTATAAGTGGAAGATGAGGGAATGTGGCGGTATAAGTGGAAGATGAGAGAGTGTGGCGGTATAAGTGGAAGATGAGGGAATGTGGCGGTATAAGTGGAAGATGAGAGAATGTGGCGGTATAAGTGGAAGATGAGAGAGTGTGGCGGTATAAGTGGAAGATGAGAGAGTGTGGCGGTATAAGTGGAAGATGAGGGAATGTGGCGGTATAAGTGGAAGATGAGGGAATGTGGCGGTATAAGTGGAAGATGAGAGAGTGTGGCGGTATAAGTGGAAGATGAGAGAGTGTGGCGGTATAAGTGGAAGATGAGAGAGTGTGGCGGTATAAGTGGAAGTATAATGAATGTGGCGGTATAAGTGGAAGATGAGGGAATGTGGCGGTATAAGTGGAAGATGAGGGAATGTGGCGGTATAAGTGGAAGATGAGGGAATGTGGCGGTATAAGTGGAAGATGAGGGAATGTGGCGGTATAAGTGGAAGATGAGGGAATGTGGCGGTATAAGTGGAAGAATGTGGCGGTATAAGTGGAAGATGAGGGAATGTGGCGGTATAAGTGGAAGATGAGGGAATGTGGCGGTATAAGTGGAAGATGAGAGAGTGTGGCGGTATAAGTGGAAGATGAGGGAATGTGGCGGTATAAGTGGAAGATGAGGGAATGTGGCGGTATAAGTGGAAGATGAGGGAATGTGGCGGTATAAGTGGAAGATGAGGGAATGTGGCGGTATAAGTGGAAGATGAGAGAGTGTGGCGGTATAAGTGGAAGATGAGGAATGTGGCGGTATAAGTGGAAGATGAGGGAATGTGGCGGTATAAGTGGAAGATGAGAGAATGTGGCGGTATAAGTGGAAGATGAGAGAATGTGGCGGTATAAGTGGAAGATGAGGGAATGTGGCGGTATAAGTGGAAGATGAGAATGTGGCGGTATAAGTGGAAGATGAGAGAGTGTGGCGGTATAAGTGGAAGATGAGGGAATGTGGCGGTAAGTGGAAGATGAGGGAATGTGGCGGTATAAGTGGAAGATGATGGAAGGGAATGTGGCGGTATAATAAGTGAGAATGTGGCGGTATAAGTGGAAGATGAGGGAATGTGGCGGTATAAGTGGAAGATGAGGGAATGTGGCGGTATAAGTGGAAGATGAGGGAATGTGGCGGTATAAGTGGAAGATGAGGGAATGTGGCGGTATAAGTGGAAGATGAGGGAATGTGGCGGTATAAGTGGAAGATGAGAGAATGTGGCGGTATCAGTGGAAGATGAGAGAATGTGGCGGTATAAGTGGAAGATGAGGGAATGTGGCGGTATAAGGTGAGATTCACTGGTGAGTGATGCAGGTTATGTGAGGGGGAGAGGTGACGCTGGTGGGTAAGATACTTGGGCAACAACTATTAACATGAATGTTTCGACATTACAGAATGCTGGTCCAGCACCCTCACCGCTCGGCCAGATGCCCCCCAGTGACGGTATGGGCCCCGGGGGCCCCATGCCTCCAGGCTTCTTTCCGGTAAGCTTTGCCCACCTGACCTGACCTTGTGTTTACCTTCTCTCCCACCTGCCCGTATGGGGTATATCTCGCACACCACCACTGTGCCTGCCTTCCTTACGGGCTATTCATGCCCGTGCCCACCTCTTGGGTGGCTTAATCTTCATCAATCAATCAATCAATCTGTGGCTGCCTGTGTGGTCACTCCTCTCCGCCTTCCCCTCCCTCCGTCACCTTCCTGCTCCCCCTGTTGACCTCCCCCGTCTCTAACACCTGCCCTTCACACTCCTCGCCATCACTCCTGGGACACCTGCCCTTCACACTCCTCGCCATCACTCCTGGGACACCTGCCCTTCACACTCCTCCCGATCACTCCTGGGACACCTGCCCTTCACACTCCTCGCCATCACTCCTGGGACACCTGCCCTTCACACTCCTCCCCATCACTCCTGGGACACCTGCCCTTCACACTCCTCCCCATCACTCCTGGGACACCTGCCCTTCACACTCCTCCCCATCACTCCTGGGACACCTGCCCTTCACACTCCTCCCCATCACTCCTGGGACACCTGCCCTTCACACTCTTCCCCGTCACTCCTGGGACACCTGCCCTTCACACTCCTCCCCGTCACTCCTGGGACACCTGCCCTTCACACTCTTCCCCGTCACTCCTGGGACACCTGCCCTTCACACTCCTCCCCGTCACTCCTGGGACACCTGCCCTTCACACTCTTCCCCGTCACTCCTGGGACACCTGCCCTTCACACTCCTCCCCATCACTCCTAGGACACCTGCCCTTCACACTCCTCCCCATCACTCCTGGGACACCTGTCCTTCACACTCCTCCCCATCACTCCTGGGACACCTGCCCTTCACACTCCTCCCCATCAAACATGGAACAGGTATTCAACACACTGCACCCCATCACAGATGGAACAGGTGGTGACTCACAATACTTATACCATGTACGTCAGACCAACTCAGGAAGATGCAGCATCTGCATGTTCATATGCAGTGAAACCAAAACTTAGCTGGAGAAGGTCCAGAGGCCTCATGATTGTCCTTGTTACAGCTGCCAGCTATCAATTCAATCATGACTAAAGGAATTAAACCTCTTGTCACTAGAAAAGAAAGAGCAAGGAGACATTATCTCGACATAAAAAATGCCTGAGGACATAGATGAGTAGATAAAGCACTATTTGTAATTGGTGGTTAGCGACAGAAGGGACCCCGGTAGACACTTTGTACCTAAATGGCTCACTTAGGTATATGAAAAAATTAAATGGAATACATTTAAACGTAAAGTGGAGGGAAATTCCTGTAAATTCCTTGAAATGTAGATATGACATTGATTATTGAGAAACTGCTCTTGCGTCCTGGTTTACTTTCTCTGTACACACTACTAGTGGCACCTGTGCAACACACACCTACAACAGCTACCTAGAACAGTTGCACCCCATACGCCTAATACAGGCGCTTTACGCAGTGGACCTCATATTCGTGAAAATTGGTTTATACAGTGCATCTCGTCCTCCTGGAACAAGCTGCTTGCACAGCGCAGCACACAGTTGGAAGCCACATTTGACATAGTACTACACACACTTGTATGAAGCACAAGAGCCCTCCCCCGCTTTGACACCCACTGACTACCTGTAACTACCGCCTTTTACTGTCCATAACATATCTACCTCCTAGTGTCCCACAACTTCACCCACTAGGCAGTTCATCCACCTGGCCTTGTTATCCACCTTGCACTTCACCCGCTGGTACCTCACCCACTTGCCACTACAACTTCTTTTTCCTCTGCTCGCCTGGCACTTTAGTTTTGGCACTTTACTAGGCTCTGACACAGGTGAAACAGTTCCCTTATAGCGAGGCGGAGAGCCCCTTCCCTCACCTGGCCACAAGAGGCGCTCCAGCTACAATACTCTCACCACATTCTCACAGGGCTTGATGGTCTTTTTTGAACACGCTCAAGGGCTATAGCACACGGCTAGGAACTGTAGTCCTCCAATGACTTGGGTTACATCTGCCACATGCTTAGAAATTGGCGCATGTTCTGCAAGTGATTTGTTGATTGTACGGGTTGTAACATTTTACAGTCAACTCTGAAAGTTGACTGAAGCATTCGTTTATTGCAACTCTTGTCCCAGAGTATAGTGGAGGCACCATTGCAGAATTTAAAGAAGTTGCTGAAGATTTGCCCAACAAAGTTTCCTCCTCTATCGTGGAACTCGTTGTCTAGTAATTAGGTACCTGTAATAGATTAGGATTTGAATTGAACTGGGGATCAAGCCCTAATAGACAAGTGGCAACTACTTAACTTGGTCACTCTCCTGCCCACTGAGTCCCAAGCATGCCGCTGACTGCACACTCACAGGAGGGAAACAAATTACACCTGCCGGCTCCCTAGGGTAAACCTGCTGGCTCCCTCGAGTAAACCACTACATCAGCAATCCGAAAACAATCTTGACAAGAAATATACAAGAGGGCCAACCACTGACTTGGTTCTAGTATACAGGAATTGTGGGCAGCAGACACTCCCAACACTACCTCCTCTGTACCAACAACATTTTGTCCTCTCCTCTTTAAACCTTTTTCTCTAATTCAAACTATTCTTGTAGTCGGTTAAAATGATAAAAATAATTTGTATTAAGGGAATGGGTATTTTGAACAATAACTTGTGTATTAGTGAACTTCTAATAGGACCCCGGTTTATGTGGCACGCCCGGATGTGGCCTGTGAGAGGGGGGAGTGTTGCCTGGGTGACCCAGGATTCTCCCGGGCTCTTCCAGGCTCTTCCAGGCTCTCCCAGGCTCTCCCAGGCTCTCCCAGGCTCTCCCAGGCTCTCCCACGGGTAACACGCCTCTTGTGTCTTGTGCTGGTAATGGGCGCCCCACCAAACTACAAAGGCATTTATCTCATTTGAATATCTTCCTCCGCCTCATTCATTTCTCATATTGCAATAAAATTTATTGCTATAGAATTCAGTATAGCCGTCAATAATCTGCTTTTCACACGACACCATGGCCTTCATCTCTGAGATAACCTTTGTAGTTTGAAACTGTCTTTATATAATATAATGAATTTCACATGTGATAATTTA